CATTTCTGTAAGCATCACTAAGTCGAAAGGCCATTGCCGCGATCCAATGATCGAAAAGGTCCACAGACCACGTACGAGGAGCAATCTCCCCAAGTCAAGACGAGTCAAGAGGGCAGTGATGCATGAAGCACTGCGGATAATCCCTGACCGCAAGATTGCACATCGGGAAGTTCCAGCATCCTCTCGACGGAGGGTCCGATGCATTCGAGCTCGAAGGAACCCTGGCATACCAGGCAATGCAAGACCCACGATCGGCGATCTCGAGCTGAAGCAACAATTCACGCCAGAGCTCGTCCCTAGACGTACACTTGATTGCAGATGCTAGCACTCCGCTGTGGTCCAAGAAGAAGAGGACCCGCTGAAAATCCAAGTACTCTTTCCAAGCAAAGCGCGCGAGAACCAGGGCGTACATTTCCACGAGGCCTATCAAGTGTCTCTTGCCCTGAGAAGCCCAGCGGTCAACGAGCGCATCAGGTACCTTTGCACCAAAGTACCTGACACTTGTGACGCCCCGCAGCCTGGAGTACAAGACGCCTCCTACAGTGCAGAGCTGCCTGAGGGCCCCCGGCTCACAGGCACCGTCCGTGTAGACAACAATCGCAGGGCCGCGATTGCTGACATCAATCCTTCTGGGCTCACCATGTAGCATGCGGTTGCGAAGCAACCTGAAGGCCTCTTCCTCCGCATGAGAAAGATGATGAGCGTCTGAGTTCTTAGACAAATGCCGTAGAGTACCTAAAGCAAGGCGGCCCATTCTGCCCAGCACCTGAGAGTCAACGAAGTGAATCCTGCCAAAGAGGCTTTCAACCTCCCTAGGGCGCACCACGCCTTCAGACAGGACTTTGTCAACAGATGCGGCGACATCACTGGCCTTGTCAGGCTTGTTTTGCACGCGGATGCAATGAGGCGACGACAGGTCTAATCTGACACCTAAGATGTCGGCGACAGGGGCGAACGGAAGCTCCTTGTCTTCAGAGCACGAGATACCCAAAAGTCGCATGAGCGATCTAATAGTCTTCTCGGTGCCACCCGACGTCAAACTGAGGTCTAGCACAGGGTAGTCATC